TTTTGATTTTTAAATGACACCCTCGGTATTTTTTTACTATATTCAATAGAAAATGACACTCTGAATAGAATGACATATCGTATGTCGACTTTTGACATTTTCACATATGGTTTATTTGAAATTGTAACATGCGGTTCATAACGACAATTTGACTCGAAATACCAAGTGTGTGATACCAAATTATTCGTAAAAAATGCTGTTTTCAAAACATGCTAATGAGCCACACTTGTTCCATTTGAAAAAATTGAAATATGATTATAAATACGATTTGGGCAACTTTTAACCGGCCAGGACAAGACACTAAAAACATTAGATTAGACGATCAAATCTATTTTTCCAATTTTTTTTTAATTAAAAGTTGGTGTTTTTAGCACAGCCATGGCACTCTAGATTGAAATTTAACCCTTTATAGGTTGCTGGTCGCTAAATCGACCACTTTAATTTAACAGTTTGTTTGCTATGCTTATTTCTATGTGCACTTTTCCCATTTAATCAACCATATCTGTACGTTGGCCGAATTGGCGCGAAAAGTTAACGTAAGCGGTTGAATATTCGACCAGTCAGCATTGGTGACACTGAGTTCGCAGTGTGTCATATAGGTAATAATTGTCGTCTAAGCATTTTCTATGCAAATTTCGTTCGATAAATATTTAAAAATATAGAAACAAATAAATGTATCTGTGACGTTCATTTCTTTTTATTTAGTGCACAAAATTTACGTCTCGGATGATATTTTCTAAAATCGTTAACATATCCTGTATATTTTCGATCATTTCTCATAGGATGCGAGTTTCTGGAAAAACAAAATTTCATTTACTTGATATGGGCATATTTTTGAGTAGAGAGCTAACAGAGATAATTACTCGTATAGTTTTGATTAGTTTCTTGTATTGTGTATTTGTATCGCCGTATAGATTTTAATATAGTATCCATCATTTTACAAAAAAAATAACTGATTTCTAAAAATTACTGGCAAACTCAATCACACAAATATTTCTAATTTAAGAAGGCATAGTTATTACAATTTAAAATATTGGTACAATATTAAAAATTTGGAGCTTTTGAAATTATAACTCAATAAGCTGTAGTTGATTATATTAATGGGGAGTTTCATAAAATAAGCTGGTTAATGGTTTTGTTTTGGTTAGGTTAAAAAAAACCATAAGGGTCTCATAAAATCGAACCGCAATATTTTTTTCTCTAAACTGCATTCTCAAAATCAAGTTTTTAAATTGGAAAAATATCAAGAAATTCAGGCAAATATCTACTACCTGCATGATTTAAAAAATAAAATAAAAAATGGCAATACAAAAAACATATTTTTATAGGATTTATTTAATATTGTAACGTATTTCCAATCCGTATAATACAAGATCAACATATCAATCGTAATTTAAAAATATATCTGTTGTTCTGTCACTAATAAGTCGCGCATTGAAAAAGTAATCGCCACAGTATACAAAAACGTGATACTAGGTTTATTATTATTTTTTATTAATTTTACTCTGTTTTAATTTGTTTGTTTCTGTAATTTTCTAAAATATTTTTTTTTGAATATGAAACTAAACTTAGGGATACTACTACTACACTAGTAGTAAGTAGGTATAGGGACGTATGATCTAATGATAATGTAATTTGTAAAATATATGAAAGCCAAAAAATTAAAGCACTTTTACAAAAATTTTCCAAAAAAAGATACAGTACATAAATAATTTCAATTAATGTTAATTTATACAGAAGAAAATATGAATAATTACATGTGTAAGGCTTGATTTGCTTAAGAAGATTTAAAGGGCAACCATATGCAGTTAGAATGACAATAGCAATATTGATTATTTATAGAAACTGACGTAATTTCAGTATTGCTCTTGCGGGCCATGAACATATTACAAGGGTATTACTACGTATAGCACATGGTGACAAAACTGTGTCACTTAATGAGCATAACAGATTTATATCACATTGAATGAAAACTATATCGCTTAGAGTCTATTATTTTAAGCCTACTAATTTAGGGTAACTTGATCACCTTGTGCTATCCATTAACATTATAGAAAATTTATAAATTAAGATGCGTTAAATTCTTTAACTGTAAATATGTATTTTCTTTTTGGTTGAAGAAAGTGTTATCGACTAAAAGCATACTAAACTGAAAATTTGTTGTTTACTACAATTGAAAATTAATATATCAATTTAGATAAAATGCAATGTCTTTTATCCTAATGACGAGAATATTTAATTCATTATTAACTAGATGTTGTTTATTAGACAAATGCTACATATAAGGCTGGCAGATAGAAAAAGGAATGAGTGGATCAGAGGAAAAACTAAAGTAAGGGATGTTAGAAGTGAAGTAGCAAAATTGAAATGGAAGTTTGCTGGTCACAATGTCAGACAGAAGGATGATCGATGGAACAAATGCATCGTAAACTGGAGGCCCTGGGAGAATAGAAGAAGTAGAGGAAGACCCCAGATGAGATGGGCGGACGATCTGAGGAAACATGCAGGCACAAGATGGATGAGCCTGGCGACAGAGAGGGAAGAGTGGAAGAGATTGGGGGAGGCCTATGTCCAACGATGGACCGAAGAGGCTGGATAGATAGATAGATAGTTTTGTTTGTTTATTTATTATTTTTGTGGTTGATATTTTCTTGATAGACGCTATAGATGATTGGGATACAGTAACTATATTTTGTCTTACGTTAGACGAATTAAAAAGTAGCATAAACACCATAATGGCTAGCTTTTGAATTACCTCCAAACACAAAATTACATTTTATGATTCTTTCATATATATATTTTGAAGTTAATTGAAGAAATAATAGCTCTACGATAAAAATATGTTACTTATTTTATCACTTTATGAAAATGTACGGAGCTAAATAGAAAAGACAAAAAGTTAAAAAAGGACATGATAAAATAGTACAATTGGCGGTAGACGAAACGAATGGTGCTAATGAAGATTTGCTTCAGGATATAATACTCTAAGAATTTGATTTAATATATAGTCTTAAAGCAATAAAAACATCAATCTGCTAATGGATAAACCAACATGTTTACGTAATAGAGATAGTCCTGGAATGGGAAGTCCATCTTGGAAGTATCAGCTAGTATCAGAACCAGAAAGCTCTTATATAAATTGACAGACATGGTATATGTATGCTTTATATTTTTAATTATAGTATAATAATGCACATTGTTGGTTGGGGTTAGGTTAGGTGTGAAGAAACTAGAAGACGCGATGCTGAGTGCAGACTCCTAAATGAAAAAATCTATCCAGATTGTCAAAACGATATTAAACAATAAACGGTAGAATACACTTTCTCAGTGCAACTGCTTCATAAATTTGCGGTTTTTATTAAGCAATTGATAAGCTGAATGAAAATTACGAAACTTGCAAATCAATAGGCAGAAATACTAGAATTTTTTCCAACATATTTTCAAATCCAATCGATAGTAATGCTGTATGTGTAGAAGAACCTGTAATTATTTATTAATCAATGCAAAAGAATACAATATATACAAATTGAGGTTAGACTTTTGGTTAATATTTGTTATCCTTTCCCGTGACTATCAAAATTTGATGAAATTAGAGACATTGTTGCAAAAATCCTGACAATAATACTCTTTAAAGATACAAAATGCATGTAAAGATTTTATTGGAAGTACCAGAACTCAAGGACATCCACAACTAGTCCTTGGGACCATTGTGGAGAACCCCCCATCTTAGTCAAGATACTGTATAACTTGATCACCTATAAATAAACTCACTAAAATTATTATTGTGATCGAAAGACCTATGGACTTAAAATTATATCTGTAGAGTTTGTTTTGTAGAGAAAATAATAAAAGAGCAGTAAAGAATAAAAAATACCTATTATAAATATTTAGAAATATTTGAGATACACCGGGTGCGTCTTAAAAGTGTCTCATCCCTATAACTTTTTCACTTTTTTAGATAAAAAATTGAGATTTGGTGTGTTAGTATATGATATAAATTAGAATTGATTGGACGTATATTCAATTATTTTCGGTCACTTCCTGTTTCACCGGAAATTACTACAACTTTTGATTTTTAAATGACACCCTCGGTATTTTGTTCCTTTATTCGATAGAAAAAGACACTCTGAATACAAACGTATCATATGTCAACTTTTGACATTTTCGAATATGGTTTATTTGAAATTGCAACATACGATTCATAACGGCAATTTGACTCGAAATACCAAGTGTTTGGTACCAAATTATCCGTAAAAAATTATTTTTCCAAAAAAATGCTTTTTTCTTTTTGAAAAAATTGAGATATGATTAAAAATACGATTTGTGCATCTTTTAACTGGCCAGGATAAGACACTAAAATATTAGACTATCAATTATATAATTTTCTAAAGTTCCTTAATTAAAAACTAGTGTTTTTAATATAGCCATGGCACTGTAGATTGAAATTTAAAACCAATTTTGTCTTAAGCAAAAATGCCAAAAGTTGACACAGGATATGTCATTCTATTCAGAGTGATATTTTCTATCAAATAAACTAAAAAAATACCAAAGATGCCATTAAAAAATTAAAAATTGTTGTCAGTTCCGGTGAAACAGGAAGTGGCCGAAAACAATAGAATACGTCAACCATTTCTAATTATTTATGTCATATATGAAAAAATAAAAAAGGTATAAGGGTGAGCCATTTTCGTACCCGGTATAGTAACTATTTAGCTGTTGTTTGGAAAAGTTATGTATCAAACCTTTAGTTTGTCAAAAAATATTTTAATTTTTTTTATTATTTATTTTTTTAATACAACTTTTAATTTGTATTTTATTAATTATTTTATGTCATTATTTTGTTATGTTTTCCACATATTTTTTAAATTTTGCCCAGCACAATCTCATACACAGAAAAAAAAATCAGTTAAATAAAAATAAATAAAAGAAATGTATTTTCCAAAACCTCTATTTTACCCTACATTTATTCCGGGTTAATTAAAAAAATTAATAATACTTACCAAAATGAAAAAGCACCAATTATTCCACATTGCAACCAAGAAAAAAATCAGTTCGTTTCTTTCGTTCTTTTCACTAATCGAGTCGTTCTTTTCACTAGTACTCCCTTATCACCAGAACCCAGTGATAAGTTCGTTTACGCGCTCGTTCACCGGCTTCTGCACCACGACGGACGACGGGCAGCGGTCCACGGCGTGCTCCACGAGTCGCGAAAATAATCGTCGAAAGCCCGCGATCCGCCAGTCGCGACTTACTTCCCCGCTAAAGGAGTCAGAGGTCGTACCCGGCGTGGTGCAAGGCTCTTTTCCTATAGCTGCCGCCTCGGTACGGACTTGGGCTAATCTGCATAGGTATTCGTCTAGGATTGTCGGAAATCTATCTACTGGGTGGTTCAAAGTGGCTATTTTTCAGTTGGTGTGTGAGTTCCTCTTAGTATTAATATAAGGAATCGTTCTTCTTCTCTTCTTCTGCTTCTTGTCAAGGACGAGGTCTGGTCAATTCTGTCAACTGCTTTTAAAAGCTTTCTTGTGAACTGGACGTCTTGTTATTGGTGTTTGTGTTTTGACACACTTGGCAATTCGATCTGGATCCATACTTCCTACGTGGTTTCTCCAACACGCCTTGCTCTACAACTTATTGTATTCCCAATAATCTTAAAGTGTCTATTGTGTGTATTGTTCCTAATATTTTCATATCTGTTCTTATTTTCTTTTTTGTTTCTGATGTTTCTGCTCTTGTTTCAGCAGTGTAAGTCAGTATAGGTCTTGTAAGTTCGAGTCTTACTCTCTTTGCTCATGTATCGACTCATCCCAAGTAGCAAAAAGAAATTATAAAAGGATTGAATTATTTTATAACAGTCGAATAGCGTTGTCTTAAGGACTGCTTGATTTTATTAAGCGTTTGGTCGACCATTCTGTTTTTTAATAAAAGTTGTCATATTAAACTATTTTCTAGTGGTTTTTACAACGTATCCTATAACGCATTAAACGATAATTTCTTTTAGTATGATATAACACTTAATAAGACAATGCTATATGATAACAAACATATTATTTTATTAGACTCTTATACCCACCATGTAAGAGTTCTATAATATTCATATAACTAATAGTCACAAGATCATATAATAGTTACTTAAACTTGTCTTATTAAAGTTGTATTACGTTGTATGATAGAATGTTTAATTGTGTTAAACTACTTTGCTGTATACAACACTAGTTATATAGCCTTATATGATAAAATTGTGATTAACAAAATAAATTCTCTGTAATATCTGCACTATAAAACTGGTAATGTATAATATAATCTCATTTTAAATTAAATAGTATACCTAGTAATTTATTTTGAAATGATAACAAACGTATTATTTATTTTGTTATTGTTGTTGTTGCAAAAGTAATATCTACGTACGAGTATAATCAATCACAGCTATTATGAATTCTGGACAAAGTTGGAAAAAAGTTAACAAACGCAGTGGTAGTTATAAAGAGTATGTAAGAAAAAACTCCTTGAAATTACGGCAAATAATCCCGAGAATTCCCTGTGTTCCCAAAAGCCAAAATCTCTCGGGTTGTCTGGCTTCTGTAAAGCATTGTTGCCACGTTGATGTAAAAGTTTTACTGTAGTAATGTTTGTATTGTTTTATTGTTGTTTTTCCTTAAGTCCTTAGGTTGCCGCTCACTCGTCGGGCATGCATGAAATGCATTGCGTGCATGAATCCATGAAAATCTGATCATGTTTGTTAGTTTAAATACTAATCAAATGAGATTTGGCAACATCTATTTGTCACAAATCTCAATATGCCAAAAATAGTTCTATAGTGCCTGGAAATTCTGCGTAATGATAGATATTTATCCTATACCGTTTTATTTTACAACAAAGACTTATTTAAGGCATTCATTTATAATAAAATGGTTTCATTATAATTCGCCATGTTTAAGGCAGAATTTTTGTATGGCCTATGCCCGCCATTATATGAAGCAAAATTAAAAACATCAAAATAAATTGTAAAATGTTATTTTTGAGAACTATTTTGTGATAAGATTCCCACATAACACTAATAAACTGTTTAAATTAAAAAGAAGAATTTTTGAAAATTTTATTTTATTTTATTTTTTAAATTTATACGTAAACCTTAATCGAAATTAAAGCGCTTTAATTTTTTGTCAAATACATACCTATAATCTACCAGTAAAATTTTCGGCGCAACAAAAATTGTCCCTACTTTTCAAACCCTATATTAATGATTTTTTATATTACATATTTGTTGTACCTTCTGGCTCTACCCGCCATTTTCACCGTCGAGTAAAGTCTCCTTTTTAACAATCCACATCCTCTAGATTCATTTTACGACACGCTTAAAATATAATTTGCTCCTAATATTCTTCGGTAAAAAATAAAATACTCTTTTACCTCGCTAAATGATCAATTGTTTTTATTGTTCTGTTTCTTAGATGTGACCACGTAATACACAATAACACTAGTTTTATAATAGTTATATAACGCTGTGTAAAATAGTTGCATAAGAGTTGTATACCCTCTTTATAGAACTTCTATACTACTAAATGGTTGTATAAAAATGGGCCTTTTTTGGTTGTAAAGCTATCATATTACGGTCTTATAGCACGTTATACGAATTGAGGTATCCTATAAAAATGATCATATAGCTGTTTATATAGCCTTTATAAAATAAAATTTGCTACTTGGGATGATTGCGACGAGATACTGCAGATGTTTCTTGTACTGCTATGACTCTAAAGCTATGACTTTCTGCTAGAAATGAAAAATTATAAAAATTCCAATTATCAATAACATGCCAGTTTTTAATATTTTGAGAGAGCTATGGAGAAAATTTAGTTTAAAAATGACCGTATTCCAAAATCGTCACTCTGTATATGTTAATGATAAAAATTTACTAAATTTTAGAATCTACTAAGCACAGAAAATATACCGTTTTATTAAAAAAGCTACACATTTGGTGAAACAATTGTTTTTATCACTCTTTAAGTCTATGAAAATATTTTTAATAAATATTGAACATTAAATTTGTTCGCATCTTTATAAAAACATTTTATTGTTTTTATAAGCTCTGTATATTTAAAATAATAGAGCACTTGCCCCATAAAACAAATTTAAAACGCTACTACTCATATTTTTAGAACACCCTGTATGCTTCTGTGGGATTGCTAGCTTAACAAGCTGTCAGATGCGTAGGTTTCCTATCATACTCCCTATATAATTTATTTGCAAAAACTTATTCTCATTTCCTGGACACATTTTCATTACTTAACCTTGGGCATTCTATCGTTTTGAGTTTTCCTGACATAAACAATTTCCTTTATAAAAAAAACGCATAATTATTTATATTTAAATAGCAGATTCTCGGTAAAGATTAAAAAAATCGAAGGTATTTAATTATAAAAATAGATCAAACATTTTAAATTTCTATTTTTTAATTATACTAATTACTCCTATTTTCACTTTACAGTGTAGTGACCCTTAAAAATCAAATTAGGTAATTTAAAAAATAATTTGAAGTCAATTTTCGATGTAGTTTATTTTTGCTTGATCATGCGGTGTTACTTATCTACAAAAATACCGTTATGATCAATAGATACATCATTTTTTACTGTAACACATGCACAACAAAGACGGCACACTTTTGTTAGTAATTGAAAGTCATTATATGTTGCCGAATATCGATATACTGCTTGTTGCAAAAACAAGGTGTGTCTAACATATTTTTTATTGAAATGAAATGAAACAGAGCAATGTGTTAAAAGGTTGTATATTACTTAATTTAGATTTTTAAATATCGATATTGCCAAAGAGTGCTTTGTTCATTATTTTTTTAAATCGATTATTCATATATATGGTGGAAATTTCTGCAATATTCTGCAGATAAAAATTAATAAAAAAGTTCATATATATGTATCTCCTTATAATGCTTAGTTTCGGAGATACAGGATGTAGAAGTTTCATTTTTATTTCGGTTTTTTCCAAATAATTTCTGAAGTAACGCCAATATTTGGATAGTTTACGGTATATTTTCTTTTATTACTTCTTCGTCAAAAACGAAAGATACTTTGAATAAAATAGTTTGTCTTAATTGAAATTTACCGTGTTTCTTCTTTCTTTATTAGCGTTATGTAAATATTTTTACGCCTACCAACTTAAAATACCATAAGGCAGATTTTAATGACATTGTGTCATCTTCCAATATAAATAAAGCCAAGAAAATTGCAAATATTGTTATTTTGTTATGTTAAACAGCCATGCCAAATATAAAACGCACTTTTCTTATAAACGCCTTTGGAATAGTTGTAAATATAAATAAGGATAATACCACAATAATACAGTATTATTGAAGAATTAACCTAAAAACATATTAATCTTGATTATAATATAACTGAAAACTGAACTACTTTATTTCAGGATTGTTTTCAAAATATTAGCAAATTATTCCAAGTATTATTAGAATAGATATATTTTAATCTGTTTCAAATTTTGCATATTATAAATAAATTAGAGTATTTGATTTTTTATGTTTATAAAAAACAACTTCAAACATATACAGGGTGGCGCACCTCATTCGCCTCGGTTGATTATACGAAAACGGAAAGATGTAGAAACAAAATATTTTAAGGGTATATGTGAGAAGGCAATATGCACAATTTAAAATTATTTGGAAATATACAGGGTCTTTCAGAACTAAGATCCATACGAAAGTTATATTTTATCTTATGGAACACCCAGTATTTAATTTCATTTTTGGATTCTTGGGTCAAAAAAGGTATTTATTATAAGGGTTAAATATGTTTTAAATCTTTGGTTTTTGAAATATTTAAAGATATTTAAATTTGCATGCTATAATAGAATAGATTGTTTACACCCTGTACATTATTTTTCAGAATTAATTCTTGTGCTGAGGTTAAAGGTAGAGAAATAAACTTTACTGAAAAATGGTATTGCTTCCTTAAATTTATACAGGGGTATCAAAAATTGCTGATCAATTTTAAGTATTTATTTTATATAAAAACTTCGTTATTTCACATGCAACTCCTTATATTTTTTTAAATAAATTGAAGGAGATTAAAATACTCTTTCAAACTATATTAGGGTTTCATGTACCTATTTAGCTCAGATTTTGAATAAAAAGCGATTTTTAAATAAAATTGCAATCAAGGTGGCTGGTGTCGCCATGACAATGTTCTAGTAACAGTTAGTAACTATTTTCAAAGTCGACATTAGTTTATGGACATTATTATTTATAATTTATAACAGTTTACTTAAATTTACCTACAA